CACATTAGTACTCATTACCCTGAGACATTCCTCCTTGGAATTCCCTTCCACATTACTTGAAGTATCTGTTAAACTTTTGGCAAGCGTACCAATAGTCAACTGTAGTATAATGATTTTTTAAGTAAGAGTGTCGAACCCACGAGGAACAGTTTCGATTAAATAGAAAAATTGTTATCTCAAACAATATATATACAAGGATGTTCAATTTGATTCATGATGGATGTTGATAAATAAAACTACGTTGCGTGAAAGTAAAATAATAACAACAAATAACTTAACGAAGGTTAATATGAGAAGTTGGGATTGAATTCATCTATCTCACTCGTCTGCAATCTGGATGAATACCAACATATAGCAACTGAAATTACCAATATTGATGCAACACACAAAAGTCATTTATATCGATTCCTCGCATATAAAATTCATAAGATCAGTTCCTTGAATATTGATTCCTCACATATCCAACAAACTGTCCAGCATTATATTCAAGTGTTATAAGCAATTGATAAACTGAAATCTATCCCTAGCATCACAGAATATCAAGTATTCTTGCTCAAATCAGGGTTTTAGAAATACTTCCCAGTCAAGTCTAAAATCCACATTCATGAAACTATTGATCAGGTAGAGTCAAGCATTAAGAGTAGAACAAAAATACCAATGTTGAATAAAAACAGAAATGCTATATATAAATATCACCAGATTACATCCGAGTTCGAATCGATTACATTCAATCCCAAGAGAAGAGATCAGCCACTCATGGTAGCCATTGACATTCTAAGAGATGAAGAAGAAGGTCCTAAAGCTAAAATGGAAGAAAAACTCTTTGGGTACTCTTTCTCCGTAGCTCTCCGTCTCTCTCTTTCTTTCTGCTTCGTAAGTATATAAACTGCCCGAATTCTCGCTTAAGCTAAATTATTCTCGCTTAAGCGAGAAGAAACTTCTTGGAGAAGATAATCATTCTCGCTTAAGCTAAAATATTCTCGCTTAAGCGAGAATGACTTTTAAGGTAATGGCTTCCTGGACAATTCTAGCTTAAGCGAAACCATTCTAGCTTGGGCGAAATATTGCAGAATTTGCTCTTCTCTCTTAGTTTACCTGAAATGTATACAAACTAGGGATCAAATGATTTCCTTTTACTCAATAACTCAGAAACATGTGATTACATTTCATCTTTCTTAGATTGGGGAAAATTGATACAAATGTACTCAATTCAAAACATAAGTGCTCAAATTCCATATGAAAATTAACTACTTTTTTGCACTTATCAGTATCAACTTTTACTTAAATACCAATAATATTTCCCATACATAAAGGATCAATACTATAATAAACAACCAGAACCACACCATAAAATCAGCATTGGAAGATCAAATAACATACCATAAAAGAAGACCGAACTTTAACCAATACAACCCCTGCCTACAACCGAACGGAAAAGATCAATACAACCTACAATTATGACCGAACGGTTATTTAACAAGTAAGGGTCAAACATGAGCCGAACACATTTAAGGATAGAACACTATAATTAAGCCGAATACTTCCAAAACCGAATGCTCGCCTAAAGTCGAATACTCTGATAGGATCAAACACTTAATGTAAGACCGAATGGTATTTCGCTATTCACAAATTAGGACCGAACGGTATTCCACTATCCACAAAACAAGACCGAACGGTATTTCACTAAGCAAGAATGAGAAATAGCTGACTACTAGAAACAACTAAATTATTACTACGAAACCGAATAGTATAACCTAAGATGAATACTACAACTTAATCCGAACACTTATGATTACTCCTACAAACTATTCATCAAACCTAATACTTTAAGGAAACCAATCGTTAGGATAATATGGTCCAACTATATACAGGAACAACTGTCTCAATATAACCAATGTATTTAAGCTTAGTACAAGGACAAGGTCTAATAATAATAATATAGTAACTATCACTAACCAGAATACCTAACCCAACTAGACTGATCATTAAGACAGAACCATTAACACTTGATATATCAATCACTCCCTAAACCGAACGGTCATGTACGATTGAGACTAAAATGCTAACTCTACTGATAAATTTTTAACCAATCATAACCGAACAGTCAAGACCAAACACTCAACCTTTCTGCATAATTCTTCAGAACTCTTATAAACTTATACATAATTTCCCAAAACCCAGAAACATACATTTCATACAATCATATACCAATCATCAAATCAATTCATTCCATATAGAATCATATCACACACAATTAAATTAAATAGCTTCCCTTATCTCTTAACAGACCGAACCGCTCTCAGTACAGAATTTGCCCACCACCAAACACGCAAAGCCAAGATTCACTGTTTGAGGAAAACAGACCACCCACAAGATCAGAAACGTGACCAGAGATGACGAAGAAGAAGAAAATAAACACATGCAAACAAAAACTTGGTTTGCATGTGCCCAAAACTAAACTTTCTTAGAAGTAGAAAGACCTACCAACTAAAAGCACCACTTGACCGATTGAAAAGAGAACCTTTGCGACCAGCAAACCTCAAACACCCTCTGATGAATGATCAAATGAAGGAAAACGTGAAATCAGTGGAGGAAAGTATGATATTTTTAGGGAGAAGTTAGAGAGAAGGAGGAGAAAATGAGTTTTCAGAAAGTTAGAGAAGAGATTACATGCAGAAAGTGGCACCTGATTTGAAATTTCCCCTTAAATACTACCGTCAAAAACCGATCGGTCCACTCCGCTGCTTACACCAGTCTTTCACTTTCTAAATTTCTAAATTCTCACTCCTCCACTTGGCTTCCACTACTTTACAGAATTTAAGGGTTTTGATAAATTTGATACAACTGTTAATATTATGTTTATTTAGTTATTTTAATTTTATAGGAAATAATTAGTTTCACGTTCTGTTTCCTAATAAAAATTTACAATTTTGAACACATTCTTAAGTATTTAATGTTACAAATAAACATAGCAAAAAAAAAAGCAAAAATAAATAATAAGAAAACTGTAAGAAGATAATACTACTACGCACCTAACATACCTATTATACACCATTTGTTTCTTTTTATTTTTTTTATCATATTATATATCTCATATATTTATATTAGCTTTTTCTCTCTATAATTATTATAGACGAGGTATGCATTGTTACTTTGGATGTATATGTAACATTTTCCTTAAATATAGTGAAACATTCTGATGACATCACTTTAGTTATCCTAGCAACACTTCTTTCATGTTTGGATATTAGATTTTTAAATTTGGTACAGAAATACATATCCTTCCCGTTTTTATTCTTATTTTCAAACCCATTCATGTTTTAAATATAAAATTATTTTACTCTTGTAGATATTACAATAAATTTGTATTAACTTTTTCTAATCATAACTTATTTATTTATAAGCTACATATATTTGATAATTTTATTTTATTTTATAATTAATACTTTTAATAAATTGTTATCTTATATTTTTATTTAATATTTATATAATTTTCCTTTTTATATTTGACTTTAAATATCGACGATAAGATTAAATATGTTTTTGTTTCTTAATTTTTAGTAAAAATTAAAATTAGTCTTTTTTAAAACTTTGATTTAATTTAGTCATTCAATGTGTGAAATGCATCGAATTAATCATTTTAATTAAATTTTGTTAAATTTATTTGATGTTTTTAACGTGTTTTTCAGTTAAAAATGTGTCAAATGAAGTAAACAATTTAAATATTATTATAAAATTTGAAATATTAAATAAACTAAAAAAATTAGTTAAAAATGATTAAATTCTACATTTCTAAAGAATTAAATTAGTTCTAAATTGAAAAAAAATACTAATTCCAATTTTAACCAAGTACAAAAATATATCTAATCCTTAACGATATAACGTTTTCTTGTGATTTTATATCTTTATAAAAATAATTAATGAATATTTACAAAAGTAAAAGAGTGGACATAAATACAATACGAGTATATATATTTTCTGAAAAAAAAAAATTGAAACAACAATTTTATTCTTGTTAATATTAAGTTTAATTTTACTGGTTAATTATGTGTCAGTAAAAGATTCTTACTTTGTTGGGTGAACCAATCTTTTAATATCTAGTTATTAGGAGGCTCCTATTTTTCTGCTGTACAGTAAGGCTTATATAAGCCATATTTCATTATCAAATAAAACAGACCCTCAGTTATTTTCTATCAGATCTGTATATACCTGATATACCCTGAGTTTCAATAATTCTTATATTAAATATCAGAGACAGGATAAATTTTTATTTCAGAGATAAAGATATAATACTCATACCCGAACACCATCCGCCTCTACCCTCTTACCATCCCTAACTTCCACCATTTAGAAAATAAATAATATTTAATAGAATTATTTAAATTATGGTACCTCAAATTTTATTTATTGGACTGAGAGTTACAAGTTATTGTCACTATGTTAACTCATTTATTACAATTTATTTGAACTCAAAGAATCACACTACACTTATTTGATTAGTTTTATTTACGATATTATCAGTTTAACTAATAACAAAGAACATGTTTGAAAGACGAGTAAAAAAATAACATTCACGAGAATGCCACTACCAGTCTAAGTAAAAAGAAGTTCAACAACAACTGGTCGAGATGCCTAATAAAAAAAATTATTTTATTTTTTGTCAATACAATTTCTATTTGACGAAGCTTTGGGCAACGCTCTATGACTGGTGGATGGACGCTGGTGGAGTAGATGTAACAAACTGTTTTAAGATAGGATTGAACTAGTTATTTAATATCCTGAAGAGAACAAGAAATAAAATAAAAAAATATTTTTTATTTGCAAGTTAACGTTAACTTATTCATTAATGAAAAATAAAAATTTAATACAATATCTACAAGTTTCTATAAATTAGTATATAAAAATTAATTTATTTTTTCTTTTTATTTTTATCTCATAAAAACGTTGGGAATAAGTTTGCCCTATATATGTATGAACAAACTTAGCTCCAACCGCTTAAAAACCTTTGCTGCTGCAGATCAACGAAATATCATTCCAAACATTCTTATCCTATTTTTTGTTTCGAGCATCACAGCATTATGTTATTATATTTTTATTCAGATATTTGTTTTCATAAAATGAGTTGAGTAGGAGATGGCAGAGTTTCCAGGATATATTCGTTACTGCTTGAACACAGGGAAACTTCTCCTTTTAGCAGTTTTGGTCCTTGGAGGAGTTGTCTTGCACATTTTGGTCAGTATTTTTTTCTCCACCTATATAAATATGTGACTGCAGGGAGTGGTAAAAACTTCACTGTTTATACTAAGATTTGTTCTGTGTGGCAGGCATGTGCGTTATATAAAAATTGGTGGCCAATGCTAACCGGTAAGATAAGCATCATTGAATTGATTATCTAAAATGCTAATTAAAAAATATTCCTCATGCAGCTATAACATATGTGATTCTTCCAGTACCTTTGCTCTTCTTTGCGGGATCTGAACGTTCTTCTGTATTTTCTGAATCAGATAACACGTAAATCCTTAACTTTTGTCTGGAAAAACAAAACAAGTTTGTGTTTGAATTTTCCTAGTCCAAGCTGGGGAATGATTTAATTTTTTTATTTTTTTTTAATTTGTGGTCTGATAAATGATGGAACAGCTGGGTGAATGCAACCAAGTTCATAAGTGGGGTATCAGCTGTTGGAAGCATTGCCATTCCAGCCATATTAAAGCATGCTGGTGTTATCAGTTGGGGAGCACTTGCTATGGAACTCTCTTCATTCTTTGTGTTTGTATCTGCCATAATGTTTTTCATAAGGATGAACGATGAAGATGATTATAGTATTCTTTGAAGTGAGGGCATGAAGGCTTGCTTCTTCCTCTAAAAAAAAAGTATTTATTTACTTTGCAGTCGATTTTTTGTTTGTAGAAGCGTCATTTAGTTTTTTTTTACAAAACAAATTCATCACCTTTAACCCATTTGAAACGAAGAGCCCTGTTAAATGGCGTTTAACATTTAACGCTCTGCAGAGACCTCAAAGTTAGAGGACCAGAATTGGAAGGTTTTTCATCCAAAGCAATCTGATTGTATCATGAGTAAACTTTCTTCACGTTAGACGTTCGTGCATTTTATCAAATGCATCTTGTGATATACACGTGTTAACGCTGTCTATTTATTTGAGGTGTGTATTGCCTTAATCACTTGTGTCTAATTCATTAGACTTTGTCTAGTCTTTTTGCGCTTGTTTCTTTATTATTTATTGATAATTAATATTATATATATGTATAATAGTTATCAAATCATTGTTTCTGAATAAATAATATTTTTATGTCAAAAATATCTAATGAGAATCAAAACGGAAATGTTTTAAGATTCAAAATATTGCTCATGAGAAAACACAAAAGAGTGAGACAACTTATTTACGTTGCAACAACGAATTAGGAGAAAGTAGATTGCGCAAGCAAAGAAAATGCCCAAAAGGCCATGGTGCTTATGACTTTCACAATAGTTACCATGTCAACACTTCCAAATTAGTGTTCATAGAAATACGGAAAAGTCCAATAAGATCGACTCAGTGAAGTCAAACATTAATTTGTCGGCTTTGAATTTACTTCCTATACTTCAACATCCGCGGCTTACTTAAGCTTGCAAGCTCCACTTCATATATCTTGATGATGTCCTCTTCTTAGTTTTTATTACTTTTCATTCAATGGAGATGATGGTTCAAGACCAGCAGCTACAAAATACAGGTTAGTTTCTTAAACACTACTCGTTAAAGAGAAACTCTTACATCTTTTTAAGGGAGGGATGAGTAGGACCTGCTTGGTTATTCTGGAACAGAAACAGACACTAAAGGAACATAATTTCTCACTGATTTCCAACATCCTCCTCCTTTATTGATTGCTTAAGAATCACTGTTTCTTCTAATAGGATTTAATATTAAGTTAGATATTATGACAGACAGGTGGATGGCGAGCCTCTTGGTGTTCGGTCAATTCTCGTAGGAAATTGTTCCTTGTAATTGGCTAATAACATTGTCATGTCCCATTTCAATATCTAAGTTAGAGATTGTTTGGTTGGAAACCTGTCTTTGGTTTTATGTCTATTTTCTTCTCAATAATTTAATGGCATAAACTAAACAAAGATATAAGACTTAACTATATTATTTAGTATTTGGATTAGAGGAACTACTTTCGCAAAAAACCAAAGAAATTTGTCTCTAGAGTCCCACTAGTTTAAACTACTTCTGATTATGTCAGAAATGATAGCACTACTCTAAGTTTCTTGTGTGTATATCCTCAGATGATGGAAAAGTGCACGACTCTAACAGAAGCACAAATGTCATACAGAAACTTGGACATCCAAGATTCGAAAAATGCAAATGGTGGTTGCGTGTGTCTCTCTACATAATCTTTCTTCTGGCAGGCCAATCTGCAGCTACTCTTCTGGGAAGGTTATACTATGACAATGGTGGTAATAGCAAATGGATGGCAACTTTTGTTCAATCAGCAGGATTCCCTATACTTTTTCCACTCCTTTTTTACTTCTCAACAAGAAAGCAGGACAAATTAACTAACGAGCTCAACAATGATTCCCATAGAACAAAACCAAAATTTTCTATCCTTGTTTTCCTCTACCTAGCTTTTGGCTTAATACTGACAGGGGACAACTTGATGTACTCCTATGGACTTCTATATCTCCCTCTTTCCACCTATTCTCTGCTGTGTGCAACCCAATTAGGCTTCAATGCAATATTCTCTTTCTTCCTCAATTCGCAGAAGTTCACAGCATTCATATTCAATTCTATAGTCCTACTTACCATATCAGCTTCCCTGCTTGCAATCAATGCTGATTCTGAGGATCAAACGGGACTTTCCAGAGAAAAACATATAATTGGGTTCTTCTGCACTATTGGTGCATCAGCTACATTTTCTTTATATCTCTCTCTTGTGCAGCTTTCTTTTGAGAAGGTTATCAAGAGAGAAACCTTCACTGTTGTGTTAGACATGCAAATTTACCCATCCTTCATTGCTACCTGTGCATGTGTTGTGGGCTTGTTTGCAAGTGGAGAGTGGAAAAGTTTGGATGAGGAAAGTAAGGATTATAAGAAGGGAATGGTGTCATATGTAATGACTCTACTTTGGACCGCCGTGACATGGCAAATATCATCTGTTGGTATGCTGGGGTTGATTTTTGAGGTATCTTCATTGTTTTCAAATGTAATAGGTACCTTGTCGTTGCCCATTGTTCCCATCCTTGCAGTGATCTTCTTCCATGACAAGGTGAATGGGGTGAAGTTTATAGCCTTGTTGTTAGCAGTGTGGGGCTTTCTATCTTATGTGTATCAAAATTATATAGATCACAAAAAAGCCAAGACAGATAAAAGTAATGGCCTTGGGGTTTCACTGGCTGAGGTAGAAATTTGCTGATTGTGGAATCGGATGGACCAAAGAGAATGGTTTGTGAATTGTGTCTGGCACAGCTTGATTTGTACATTTACAAGGAAAATAAAATATTTTGTAGAAATTCATATGATTAGTTAATATTGATTATAATTACATTTGAGATTATTATATATATTTCTGACATTCCTAGATTACATAACTTTTTTTATCCTGCATTGCATATCTGTTTCATGTGTGAAAAAACTAAGAACAAACCCTCTCACATTTTAAATTCTTAACCCTTCTTTGTGATGGAAATGCTAATTGGACCATGGGAAGCACTCATCTCAGTTAATTAAAGTACTCACCACCAAAAGGCAAACCTGCTTTTTGTTTTCCTTCTTTTCCGTTAGACATGGTCAAAATGAAGCTTTCAAAAAATAAATAAGTTATAGAAAAAAATTAAACCTAGAAATAATTATCTCTGTACTTTTTAAAATATACTAACATTCATTACTTTTATAATAAACTAGCCAAAACATAGGTTTTCCGCCTATTTGTTCACACTTTTAAAAATTAAACTAAAATTGAATTATTATTAAATATTATAACTAATTCATAAGTACATTTCCTTTTATTTCAAGAATAATGTTAAAAAAATATTGTATACACTAAATAGAAAGATCCTGGTTATGTAATATTATAATTGTTTTTGATGAAATACTATTTATCTATCTCATTAAGAATAATAGGTTACTTAAGTTTTAAGTGTTTTATAAATTTTAGTACTTTTAATCAATTTTTTATTAATAAAATTCCATCCTGTACTTAGAAAATTTTTATATTGTTAAATTGAGTCACTGTTATTTGATTTTGTTATTAATTTAGTTTACATGGCTGTTATTTTGCATTGTCATTATTGGCATATTTTTACATATGAAAAAAAAAAATTAATTAGTTAAGTGTTAACTCTCTCAGTGAACTTTTGCAATTAAGTTTCTATTAAAAAAATTTCTATTACATTAACAATGATGTCCTAGAGGTGTTCAAGCAAATTTTGATTCAGGCATCCTATATTTCTCAAATGTAACATCCCAAAATATAGTAATTACCATCAATTAGAACTAATCACATTTACATGATTAAACAGTGCAGTCTTAACTAAAACAGCTATCAAAGCCGAACGTTAATTAAATATAGGGTTCAAAGATTAATAATACAATAACAACCAAAGCTCGATGACGAACGGTTTACAAAAGCTAATAACCGAACGTCCAAAATTTAAGTAAACTAAGTCTACTGTACGATCTAAGTCTCGGCCTTCACTTCGACGTCCACCAGGTTCTCTTCTTCAATCACTTCTTCCAAAAGAGTATCTCCATCTGCTCACATCCACACGGATGATCATTGCATGGACAAAACGGACGTACATAAACAGTAGACAACACAAGGAAACGCAAGGGTAAGCTTAGGTAATTTAATTGGTAATTTAATTCATACAACCATCATACAATTTAACATGTACAAATAAACATACAAGACATACAACAATTTATCAGCATAGAAATAATCACTCCAGCTCTCACAAGACCGACCGTCCGGACTGTATGAATCCATGTATCTACAGGCGTTCGTGCACTCGGGTGATGTGATAACTGGAAACATTCAACAGCTGCCACCCGAGGTTAGCCCTATCAGTCCAAAGTACTCATTAGGACTAGGACCTCCTGCCATTCCCACACATGACCTACTCCCCTCTACATGAGGACGAGCACTCACGGAATATCAGGATGAA